TACTGTAGTAATAATAATAAATTGGATATTTAAACTTACTTTTAAAGAACAAGAACGAATGAACTGGTGGAAGTAAAGCAGGAGCTGTACCAGCACAATTTAAATTGAGTGGGTTTACTGAAAGAAAGAAAAGCTACACTGAAATATGAAGACTTTTCCAAATACAAATCCACTGTCCACAGCTTATTCTAGGACTATTAAGATAACTGACTCTTGACAGTGCTTTGTATGACCATTTTTTAAATGAACTTATGGAATTAATAGATGATTTTACTTGCACTAAAAAATCTATAGACAGAGCATGGAAACAAAGACACGTCTACAGCTAACCTAGTCATGGAGCAGTATTAAATCAACTGAAAGCCTCAGAAAGAAACCTTCAGCTTCCCTGTCACCAATCATCAAGTACGCTGTACAACTGTTGCCAAGAAGTCCTGCTGCATCTCATTGTTTCTTTCTCTGGAATTCTCCTTTACAAAAATATTTCCTCTTGATATCACAAAACATACAGCAACCAGCCTAAAATATTAGACTTTCTGACTAAAGCAAAACTCCCACTTCTATTGTCCATCTGAAGTTCAAGCCTATACAGGAATATTGCAATATTACTCACTGTGGGGCTTTCTTTGGTATCTTTTAAGAGAAGCTTGTTTCAACTAAAGGAAAAAAAAAAAAAAAAACATTGCATATCATCAATTGCCAATCCCCATGAAATGGGCACATTTTATTAAGATATGCCCACTAGGATTTGTATAGCTTCACTACCATACATGCCACTACATGCTGTTTTTCTTATGCCAATGAAACGAGAGGCCCTATCTTGGCCAGTTTCTTTTAGAAGCATACAAAAGCTATAAGGGTACTATTAAAAAATAAAAAGAGAGAGGGATTGAGAAGATGCTGAAGTTACATAGAAATGTCTGTTCCTGGAACTGTTTTAATTCAAGCTTCACAGAGCAGTATTTTCTGTTCACAGAAAAAGTTGCATATGTTATTGTCAATTATGAAACATTGAACAAAAGTGTTGTAACTATCCCTTTCTATGTATTATATAATTTAAAGAAAGAACACAGACCTAATTAGACAGTTTAGACTGTACCTAGAAGAGTAATGTTCATCTCTCATAACTAATCTAAATTGTCTTCAAATTTTCTAGAAATTCAGACCCATGGCACTTCTTTGCACCCCTTATATATATAAACACATTCCCAGTTCAAGAAAAAAAAGGATCCCAGGTGCTTTAACACAGTTCTGCCTCCCAGAGAGAATATCTGGAAAATGGAAATGGCTTTAGAATTCTTTTAAAATACGAAATCCTAAGCCACAACAAAATTTTTATTGATCTAGGAACTGCTGATACATAAATACAAACTCTACTACTGAAAAAAATCTATGCTTCAGTAAAGCAACTAGTACCAAGCATTTCTTCTTTTAAATCTGCCCCACTTGGGAACCAAAAATACTCTAGCTCCTTGAAACAGGGGGTTTATCTGCATTTTGAATTATCACTTGAAAAGCAGCGTTAATTTCAATAAACTGTACACAAATTTAAGAAAAAATACTCTTTTATCTTCCGAACTACTGCTGTACAAATGTTAGAGTATTCTAAAACGCTACAAGCCTGTGAGCTCTATGAAGGCTACTTAACCTTCATATTCACGGAAATTTGAAAAGAGAGAGATGGAAAGAATTAACGACAGAGGGCCTGGGGCTTGTTTATTGACTGCACACAAAAGTCTCTTATTCCCAACCCCTTTTCTACCATTAAATGCCAATTTAAGGATCATGGAATATCGCACCAGCACAGTCCGTCCTCAGACTAACCACTGGTAACTCTTCAGTGCTCCACAATGGTACATTCCTTTGCACTTCCCCAAGAGTATTTCAAGTCCACTAAAACATGCCCATCTACTCCTAGGTCCAAGGGAATAAATTCAAAATTTGGGGCAAGTTAATATTTCAAAGAGAACAAACTCTTTCAGATGAAGTAATCAGATCTTTCTTTTGTATTACGAAGTATAGTTCGCTTTCGGCACACTCCTTTATCCTTCAACATCATGCTAGATCGTATTATCCAGATGTAGAGCGTCACCTTTACAATAGTCTAGACTTGTAACATCAGTGCCACTTCTTGCACTTTTCAGCTATCCTGTACAGAGGATAGTTGAACAGAGGGTATTTTATCTTGGATAAACACAGATCAAATGAGGGAACTGCAAATCACAGTGAAGTTTAACAGGTGTGTAACGGTGGCTGCAAGAATCTTGTTGCAAGACATTCATCAAGACCTCTGCAGCTGTCAGTCTATTTTAACATTTGAACAGACTTGAGAAAAGATTATGTCACAGGCTGTGAAAAGCAAGACACAACTTCAGAATCGACCCCACATCAGAGACCCCCAAAATGCTCCTGAGATAACTCGTTATATTAAATAAAGCTTCTTTCATTTAAGAGATTAATATAAAGGCCACCCCTCTCAATTTTAACAGCAGAGAAATTTCTTTGAGAACCCAACTTAGTGAGTTACCTGCATACTGTTCAATATGCTCAGCTTTATCTGTATATTTGGGGTGTAAGCATTAGCACACTAACGTGATTCATCTGCAAACAATGAGCCAGCTATATCTTTTCTCCTCTCCAGTGAATTTTAAAGCTGCTTTCCTTCACCTGTAGTAGAGAAGGGGCTTGAAAACATCTTGTTATACCATGAAAAGGGGCAGCTCTTCATTAATGTGTCCCTGGAGCAGAAAAGTTTTGGCAATAATTTGATTTACCATCAACATCTTTGGTTTTGGCACAATGTAACACCTTCAATCACTGTTTGAAATTACCAATAAACAAGTGAGTCACAGTGTAGCTATAAATTAATGCTCATTTCAATTTCTTTATTTCTGCATTCTTTATTTCCCTTTTGGCCCTATCTCTCAAACTGAAAGCTCTGTTCATTCTCAAATGCAGCCACAGGGAGAAGTTTAATCAGTGTCAGTATTGCCTGGATGATTCGTCCTAGGCACCAGGCATCCCAGTCACAAAACTGGCATCCATGTCAGTCCTACAAAGCTTTTATGCTTTAGAAAGCTAAGAAGTAGTTAGCAGAAGCCAAAGAAAGACTTAGTGGATTTCTGATGGCATAATTACAGTCTTCCGTGTTCTGCAATTTCATATCTGCAAATAGTAAAACTTGAGAGTCACTTGGACACCAGTATAATCTTACTATAAATCAGATTAAATGTTAACACACACACGCTGTGTGTTAAAACATCCAAGCCCCTGCCAACAGTTGCAGGAATCCTGCAAACCAAGGAGAGGTTTCCAGATTGTTTTACTGAGCACTCAGCAAGGATTACTGATTAAGATTACCTGACTACAGTATTCCCTGTTACAGCTCCACAAAGATAACTGAAGCTCTTTCAACTGTCTGCCCTATCCTCTTTTAGCTCATAGTCTACATCCATGATTTAACCTCAGACTTTCCAAACAAATACCCACATGTCCAGAAGAGGCAATCTTGCGTTCTTGCAGCGCACTTGAGACCTGTAAATTTGACAGACTAAAAGTAAGGCATACATAGCCTTAAAATCCAGTTGTAGTACTGAAATAAAATCCAAAGATAAGTGAAAAAATGTGGAGAGAGCAGGGAGGAGAAAAAAAAAGAATCCAAACGTTGAAGAAAAATACTGAGCTGTTAGTTTACTTCCCAGTAGACATTTTAAGATTTAAGCAACATTAGAGCAGTTGCCAAATTCTTCATTCAGATAGAAATTTTTAAAATAAGCAATAACACTGATAGAGGACTACTAAAAATTTGCCCCAAACTGCCTAAAACTGCCCTAAATCAGTTCTACCTGAAACTGAGTCATCAGCATTTTTTTTTCTTGTTTTCAGCAGTTTTCAATACCGTTTCTGAATCCACACTTGAGTGAGTTAGGACAAATTGTCAAGAATTTCCCCAAACAAGTGACTGGAAAGTGGTTTACTTGGTGACAAAGGTTCAAGCACAGTGTGCCTTGCTGATTACTTTGCTCAAGTGTCATACTTTGTAAAAACAAAGGCTTGCTTTCCCTTTTGATACCAAAAAGCTTTGATCAATTCAGACCTGTTTCATCACACTGAGGTCAGCAGACTGATACACTGTACAAACCTGATACGTAGCTGTACTTGGCCCTTCAATATTGTCAGGGTTTTCTCTTATTTCTCTATTTTATGACACCCCAACCTTTTTTTTTTTTTTGAGATAGTAAGAGATCCCTCCTCCTGCAAAAAGGAAATGTGATGCAAAGAAAGGTGACAGGGACTGCTGAGAAGCATGACTGCACAGTTTAGAAAAAAGTTTCATTTGAATATCCTAAAACAAGCACATTTATTTATCCCTAAAGATTTCAATGGAGACATGAAGAATTTAAATTGTATATACGTACACAGAGAACACACAAGAGCACATCAGCAAGGACAGAGGGGAAAAAACAGAGCTGTATACAAATTATTCACAACTCATCATACTAGGTTCTTCTTCCTTTCTCCAAAGTGAGAGAACATTTCAACCATCTGACCATAAACAAGTCATGGGTCCTGATGTTCCCACGAGGTCTGAGGGAGCTGGCCAATGTCACTGAAAAGCCATTCTAGATTATCTTCAAAAGCCTGTGGTGATCAGGGGAAGTTCCTGAGGACTGGAAGAGAAAAAGTGTCACTCCTCGAACAGTAATGAGCCAGGGAAATTGAGGCTACTTTGTGTCTCTTCCTTGGAAAGGTGATTTAAGCAACATTAGAGCAGTTGCCAAAACTGCCAAACTGCCAAAAGTTTGCCCTGTCTCTTCATCCCTGGAAAGGTGATGGAGTAAGTAATCCTGGAAACCATTTCCAAACATAGGAGAGACAAGAAGGTGATGGAGAGCAGTCAGCATGGATTTACAAAGAGGAAATCACATCTGACTTACCAGACAGCTTTCTACAAACAGGTGATTAGCTCAAGAGCCATGGGGAGAGCAGTAGTTGTTTACCTGAGCATCAATAAGGCTTTTGACACTGTCCCCCATTATATCCTTATACACTCGTGCAGCTCGGGCTAGGTAAGTGGTCACTGGCTGAACTGCCTGGCTCGGAGAGTTATGATCAGCAGAATGGAGTTCTCTGCTCACTTCTCCTTCCTGTCATGGTTCCTCAGAACGACCACACGATCATCTGGTGTATCAATTACTGGTCCCGCTACCATTGCTGTTGTCCCCCACTGCTGACTGGCCTCCAGCTGGTCTTTGGGAAGCTCAGCAAAGGAAAACACAAAGGCCTGCACTAGAAGACTAACTGCATACACCAGTACAGGCTGAGGCTGACCAGCTAGAATAGCGCTTTGCAAAAACGGACTCAGGGGTCCACAAGTCCGTGAGCCCTGCACACTGCTGGCAAAGAAGGCCCATATCATGCATCCTGGGCTGCATGAGGCTATGTTGCCAGCAAGTCGATGGAGGTGAGGCTTCCTCTCTGCTCAGCCACATCTGGAGTACTCTTCTGGGTTCCCCAGTACAAGTGAGACACGGATATGCTGGATCACTCCAGCAAAGGGCCACAAAGATGATAAAGGGACTGGCGTATCTGCCACACAAGGAGATGCTGACAGCTGGGATTGTTCAGCACTGAGAAGAGAGGGTGCAGAACAGCGGTAGAAATCTGATCAATATTTAGAAATAATTGATGGGAGGACATAGAGCAGAGTTGGACTCTTTCTCAGTGATATCCAGTGATGGGAGAGGAGGCAAACAGACACAAACTGAAACACAGTTTTATTTAGACACCTTAACATATGGGGAAAAAATCTTAACTGTGAGTGGTTGACCACTGGAACAGGCTGCCCGGAGAGTTTCTCATGTCTCCATCCTCAGAGATATTTAAAACCCACCTGGACATGGTCCCAGGAAACCATTCCCTCAAACACTGGTCCCTCAACCATTCCACAATTCTGTGTCACTGAAAACACACTGCTCAACACACTTCAGTTCCACTTTCGATTCATGTGCAAGAACCAGTTACCCTTCTCCACCCATTTCTTTTAGAAGCCTCCAATTTAGGAATTAAGGATGACATTTTAGTGTAAATAAACAGAACTATCTGGATTTTCCACAACTCCAGGAAGCCTTAAGGATACTGTTAGTAGTAAAAGCACAATTCTAAATTTTGTCATCTTTTTATTTAATAAACACATGCTATGGTTGCTGATGAAATCACTGAATAGCATCCACAAGAATCAGCTGTAGTAGAAAGTTGCACCCCATTTTGTAATTCTGTGTTCAATATAACCAAGTGTTCTCTACTGTCTTATCTCTCTACATACATATTCACCCACGTTACAACTCCTGAATTAAATACCAATCTCAGCAGTTTTGCATGACACAGTCAAACTACGTACTTAACTTGGGCAAAATGCACAAGCCAATCTAATGCATCTAAAGTCATATTTTTCTTCCTTTTTTAAAATAGCATCATGGAAGTCTGACACAATCAAAGGAAGAAATGGAAGCCATAGCCTGTATTTAGCATCATTATTCTTTTGTTAACTGTCTGGCTGACTTGATTTTTGAGATGTGAAAGTGAGATTAATAACTTAGTACAGTCTTAATAAAAATCACAATCCTTCATTGACGTCACTGTTAGAAGTATTTTACAGTGCTATTGATGCAAATATTTATCAAATTTACATTTTCATCTTGTTTTTAATCACATATATACAGCTGCTTTTTCAAAGAGGTAAAAATCAGCATGTTCTTTCTTTCTGTTATCTACAATTCTACAGAAGCATTCAGCATTTGCATTTTTCTTTCATAGATTAAAAGCATAAGTTAAAAGCCACACAACTGTAGAAAGACAGCTGATGTTCTTTCAGTTTTGTTGAAATGTCTTATATAAAAAATTATGTCTCAAAATATCAGTCATCATTCTCATCCTCTGTCCTTCAAGACCCAGGCCAAAGAACAAATAAATCCAAGTCTAACTTAAACAGTGAGGTTTCAATTTCAGCATAAATTATACCTATCATGTTTTGTTACATTAACCTAGTCTTTAATAAAACTAACTTGAGAAGTAGCCACAGTCCCTGTTATGCCCTTTTGAGGTCACTTCTTTTCAATATATACATGAAAATTCATTATAGTGGAACACTTTGGGTGGAAATCTCAAAATTAACATATATCTGATATTGCTTAATGGTCTCAACTAACAAGAAAAATTCATCCCCAAAACAAAGCCTACATAAAAAAATCTGGAAATTGAGTAAAATAAACAGAGTTGACTATATCCATAAAACGTTTATTTTATCCAAACTCAGTAGAATTTTAGTAAGTTTTAAAGGTAAACCAATGAAAACTAAGTAATTTACTGTAACTTACCTAATACTGAGTTGTAGATAGTTTTCCCTCTCTTCAATTATGTTACAGGCTGAAGAATGCTCTCAAAAAAATCAAGAACCACCAAGAATCTCTTGGAGATGCATGGTGTTTGTGCTCTCAGTGGCACTGAGTGTCCCAGCCTGATGCGAAGTCCATCGATTTCAGTAAGCTTTGAATCCAGCTCTGAACAGAGTTTTCTATAGGAAGGTTTCTTCTAGTTCTTTAAACCATAAGCTGTACTTTAAAATGTATAAGGGGGTACTTTTAAATAGCTCATCTGCACAGCCACGAACTGGGCTTTTGCCTCACAAGTTTAACTTCTTTGCATCTACAGCTATTATTGTTTTGAGAAGGAAAAGTCTATTAGTCTTTACAAAAACACTCAGAAGAAACTAACCCTGCAGACATGCACACCCTGTTCCATATTTTATTTATAAGCATATGGAAAATAGAAGTGCATTATTCAGAGGCATTCTACTTCCCTTCTACATACATAACACAAATCTTTGCTGTCTCAGATCATAGGGATCTCATTATTTGCACAGCGATAAATACTTCTCAGGAAATATGAAGAAAAGCTCATTTATAAGAGGACTTTGTATTCTAAGCCATACAGATGAACTTTCATTTTTTTTAATCACTGAACATCCACAATAAGAAAAGTTTAAGAAATGACTTGGTAAACAGTGATGTTTGGTATCTGTAACAATGTAGGAAAGCATGACTAGGCAGTTGCTGGTGTATACAATATGCATTTTCATTTTCCTCTTAAAAAATAGAGAAAAAAGGCTTTTTTTTTTTTTTTTTTTTTAGAACACAGAATACAAGTACCAGGCTCTGTGGTTAAGAGAAAGATGAAGTCATTTCAAAGTAGTCTTGCCAGAAGACTTAAAGCATTTCCTTTCTGGTTACAGGAGATGGTGTACAAGCGAGGCACAACTTAAAAACACCACCACCTAGTAAAAGAAGTTCTTAATATTTTGGTTTAAGAAAGGAAAGCAACTATAACATGCTCGTATGTGTGTGTGCGTGTGTGTGTGTCTATATACCTAAATACTTATACATGCTCCCTCCCACCCCAAAAGCTCAATGTTATTACTAAAAATGTACGTCTTCCTCTACATGAGGATAAAATAGTGTGTTTTCACTTGCTATTAGATCACGATGAATCAAGTAAGTATTTTTATGAAAGGAGATAAAAGTTCTGTATGCACTGATGCAGGACCATTCTCCATAAATGGTATGAAAACCTTCAGCCCCAATTTGTTTATCAGAACATTATTTTCTGTGGACTCCAGCTGCAAGCTAGTAAGAGGTTGCATCAGACGCCAATTCTACGTCACTTCACCTGCAACGCTAGAGGACAGGCTTGCATATAACCCAGCGAAGAGAAACAAAAACCAGCAAACAAACAAAAACAAATCACTAAAACACCACACACATAACACAACAGCATTACCTTTTATGTCGATAGCACCAGTGCCCTGCAGCGGAATACTGTACTTTGTTGGCACCTCAAAATTATTTGTTGCTCCAAATTTTGTTTTCATCTTAAAATCTTTTCCACAGAAAACTCGGAACAGTTCAAAAACATAGAAGCCTCCTCACTAGGATCAAATCCTAAAGCCTTCCCAAATCCAAAATTCAAGGATGATTAAGGAGTACACTGTTACATTTCAAATGTATTAGTTTAAGTCGTACAATAATATTGTTAACATTTCTGTCCAACATTCATGCCAAATGTCAAGCAGTCTGACTAGCAGTAGTCTTGAGGCCACAGCGGCTGTGAGCCAAGATGAAAAAAAGAGAGGGAAGGGAGATGAAAAGAGAGGGAAGGGAGATGACAAGAAAATGTCTGACTTAAGTTTAAATTACATGGAGTAAAGACACATTAGAAATTACTGTTATGTATTCTAATAGAAACACCATAGTGATTTGTGGCTTCCATGGATGTTTACCTATAAATATTGCCAAGCAACTTCCAGCTCCAGAGACTTCCACAAGCAGGGAAGTGACAGGAAGGGAAATACCTTCTACGGTATCAAACTTACCCATTTAGCTTCCACAAGTTTTAGCTGACATTTCTCGCCAAGTTTGCAAACATAGTGGTCGAAAGACCACTCCTCTTATCTTCACTATAGTCTGTATTCTGCTCTTGCCTGGGCAAGTAATGCAAGACCCGTGCATTTGTGGGACAAACGTGATTACAGAGGGGCAAGTACAAGACTGGGGTTGGCTTGCCTACAAATATCTAAAATAGTCTAAGCCTTCATTCGTCTCACCAGTCCTTCCATTACAGCCTTGGGCTGGATAGAACTATCCACGTCAGAGAAGGAAGAGCTGTGGTTTAGTCTAGACGCAGCATTTCCCCTTTCCTTTTACACAGCTCTGTTTCCAGAGAAGATCCTTTAGTGAGTAAGCTATGAGCAGCAGATTCAACAACACACGGCTGGGGGTGGGGGAAAAAAGTGCTAGTTCAAAAGAGAAGGTCTCTGATCAAAGCTATGAGCAAAGAAACTGCACTAGGGTTTGTTGTTGGCCAGAAAGCCTTTCTTGAGGTTCTTCATGCTTGGAAAGTGAGAACTAAGCATCTTGGATTCAGCTTCTATGAAGGCAGCCCACTATTTAACAGTGCTGTTAATTAGATCCTTATGAAGGGT